TATCTATCTATCTAAAAGACAATGACTATCATAGATATAGTATTGCAGGTTAATTACAAAAAATATGTAGAGAGAAATCTTTGATCATAATTCTCTTTCCAGGGTAGATAGGAACTTAATGGTTTGTCTGCGCTCTCTCTTAAGAAGTGAACAGAACTGAAAATGTGAAAGAGGGAGTAAGTGATGGCTTTTTTTTGTCTCTTACCCGGGCTGTTATCATCTTAGCAGTATTATGAGCAGGGTATATTGATACTAATGTATGAATAGTAAAATTAAATTGGAGGTGGGGTGAAAACAATCAGAATAGACAGATTTGTAACTACTAAGATATGTTCAATAAAGTGGTTTATTAAAAATTAGGTATTTAGTATCGGGAATGTAATTCTATAGGGAGAGATTTGACAATTTAATAAAATGAATAGAATACATTTTGACAACTTTGTAGAGAGGCATGAAATACATGATTTGTAAAACCAAAGAGATGACAATTTACTAGAGATGGAATACAGAATTGATTATTATCTGTGTGTAAATTTTTGCTTCCAGTTTGTGGTTCTTTTGTTTTGCTGGGATGTGAAAATAATGTATAATTACTCTGTTAATTCTTTTGAAAATTAATAAAAAGATGTTAAAAAAAAGGTACCAGGGCTACCAATATTACAGCCATATGGACCTTACCACCAGGGTTCCAAAGTGTGGGCCATTCCTCCTGACAGCCATGGGCTTGGGAATGACTCAAGATATATATCAGGCAAAAGGAAATCTCGTGAAATCAAATGTGGTCCTGATGTCTTGAACTTGGAATTCCTGTGTGCTGTCAGTGCCATTATGAACAACAGCTTAGACCTTAAAGGTGACCCTCATTTGTCCAGAGAGATCAAAATCACATTCCCAATATGAACACCCTCCCTGGAATTGTCCCATTTACCCAAACATGAAAAATGTCCCCAGACTTTCCCCTTGAACAAGAGATATATGAGCCTCTTTTGCCTCCTTCCTTTCAAAGTCCCAGTGAGGTTCCTGGGATTCTTCTTCCCATAGTTGGGTAGCACTGCCAGGTCCTCAGACTTCCTGTCATGCACAATCAGTTCACTGTTCCCTTTCACTGCAGCAGATCTCCTGGCCCAGACAGTCTTCCAGTGCTGGGGCACTCTTTCAGCTCACTCTGCCCTCTTGCTTGTGCATCATTGGAGTTTTCTGTGATTCAACCATCAAAACAAACCTGGCCAGGTTTTGTTACCCACATGTGGGTGGAGAGGGGAATGGAGTTGTAGAAACTACAACTCTTCTCCATGACAGCATCTACCTGGGAACCTTTGCGGGGTTGATTTAACAACATCCCCCCCCCAGAAAGACTCTCCAAATGTTCCAGCATGGCCCCAGACTCAATCTTCCATATTATTCTGGACTGCCAACTGCACACATCTTCAAGAATGAAACTGTTACCCCTTAGGTCACACTTATTTACTAATAATCTTAAAACTGTTCAATATCTTCTTAACGATGTTAATACTGATACTACAATTATGGTTGCAGAATTCTTAGCTGAATCAGACGCACTTAGATACAGTCTTTTTACATAATACGCATACTTTATTGTCTAGAAGTCAATGTATTTTCTCAAATGTATTATATACTACTATGCCATTAAAGGTGTCTGAATCTGAATCTCTCCTCTTGAGAATAGCTCACAAGTGATGAATAGGCAGTAGTGGGAGGTGCCCCACCCATAAGGGAAAGAAGGATCCTGACTGGGATAGAAGCATGGTGTACTCTATGTGTCTTACCCAGTTTTCATAGTGGATGGAACATGCCACATTTCCGTTGATAAAGAAAAATTGCTTGAGTTGGGTGATAACATTGCTTCATTTGAGAAACTGATCTAATTCTCTGTGTTGTCCAATTTAGGCTGTACTAAAATGTTACTCCTAAGTATTTGAAAGTTTTGACCTGTTCAACTTCTGTATTGCCGAATCTCCATTTACTTGGACACCAGCGTTTTGAAAATTTTTGTGCATGAAAGAATTGTGGTATCATCCACATGAAGAAGAGGGGTGGCATAGGGACCCAATGTAGGTGGATGACCATTAATGGGCTCCAGATGCAAAGCTAAATAATTTAAAAATAAATTTAAAAGAAGGGGGGGCCAGTATACAGCCTTGTTTTACTCCTTTTTGTAATGGGATCTTTGCTGTCAAATGTCCACTTTCTGTATATTTTACTTGACAGAAGGTGGATGAGTGGAATTTTTAAATAAAAAATAGGAGGTGGGGGTCCATCTTCATTGGTTCTAGCTTTTTCCAGAGTAGATGTCTAGCGATTGAGTCAAATGTGCCTTTCATATCAATAAAAGCTGCATAAAGTTTTTTTGTACCGACTTCATATATTTGTCGGCTAAAAAGGATAGAAGAAAACAGTGGTCAATGGTGGAACTTCCTTTCGAGAACCCAATTTGTTCAGGACAAATGATTTCTTGTGTCAGTACACAAGTTTTTAGGCATTTTTCTAAATATTTGGCATAAAGTTTGCCGATTACAGAAAGAAGACTGATTGGCGGATAATTATTTGGACATTTAGGATCGCCTTTTTTGAAAATTAGAATGATAATGGAATTCAGCCAAGATTGTGGCATTGTCCCATGTTGATTGATTTGGGTAAACAAATTAGAAAGTGGAGGGGCCCAACACTGATAATGTTTTGTGAGTACTTCAGCGGGGTCCAGGAGATTTACCTGTTTTAAGTTCTGAAATTAGATCAAGCAGTTCTTCCACTTCTACTGGAGACCAATTAGGAACATTATCTGCTATGGTGTTATCCCAGTCTGCTGGAAAAATTGCGGGGTCAGCAAAAGTCATATTGTAGTAGTTGACCCAGGAGAGATATTTAATCTGGGGAAGAGGAGAGATTCACTCAGGGTTGCTTCAGGAGAAGATGACATTTCTGCAGCCACCACCTCCCCACTCTCACCTACAAAAAGAGATTGTAGAATTTACATCATCACAGGGCATCAGGTACAGTATTCTGGGATGTGGAAAGGCAAACAGTTTCCAGCTAAGATGTATATGCATGTAATAGCAGTGGGCTGTCCAACCAGAGTAGCTCTTACACTGCTGACTTTCAAAGTTGCCAGCTCCTAGAGCTAGAGGAAAGAAGCTATTTGTTCACAGCCCCAAGAAATGACAGGTTCCTAATTCTTCGACAGAGGCTTGCCTGCATTCTGCTCCCCCCTTGTCATGCTGTTTTTATGCTGAAGTTGTACATGGGGGTGGCCCCTACCCTGTCAGCAGCCAAGCCAAGCTTCTTCTGGTCAGGCATGGGAATGCTTCCACACATCATTTTTAGCGGTTTAAAAATAGTTATTGATGCTGCTTTTTTGCTGTAACACTTCTAATGCCAAGCAAGATAAAGCTAAAGAGAGAATATTCTCCTACTGAAACTTCTGTAGAAGGAGGCAGCTATAGACAAGAGATGGCAGACTTTCCCACTGGACTACCATGCTGAGGTGCACATTTCAGTAATCAAACCCACTGTAAGGTTCCACAGCCAAACAATTGAGTACACGCTTATCATAAGGTTATACTTTATTGCCAGAGCTATAGAGGCAGTAACATCGTCATTGTTAGGAATGGCTACGTTCCTATAAGCATAATGGGATATAGGGTATTCGTATGCACCCCCCCCATCCCTAGGCTAATTGGCCTGACTTCCGCACGTGGGAGAATGGGTTAAAGCCGAACTAGTTCCACGGGTAATTGATGGGAAAACACTACACAGGCAGCCTACAAGGTCAGAGATAATAAGGAACAAAGGAATGCAGCAGCAGTTGGTACACAGGTCAAGCAAATGCTCTCTTGCTCATAAACATCATGGCAGCATAGCTGACATTCTGCCCACCCAAAAGTCAGCCCCTCCCGGGCATTCTGGAAGGTCTCCCGGGCATTCCGAGAGAAGAATTTACATCATCACAGACCAAGTACAGTTCCGCAGGGCCTGTAAGACGGAGCTCTTCCGCCAGGCTTTTGAATAGGAGCCACCACCACCACTGTATCACCAACGCCCTATGATTTCCGTATATGGCCATCATGATGCGAGTATCATGGGTGGGAACAGGACGTTTGTAGGGGACGGCAAGGCAGTGGGGATACGCACTGCTGTAGCTGCCTAGCTAGGATATTGAGGACACCATCTTGCTTTTAAAAATCTTAACATCGGAACCGGAATAGAGGAGCACCAAAAATGTTTTATGATGTTATTAACTGTTTAATTGTTATGTAATTTAACATTTTGTATTATTTTATCATGTTATTTGGCACTTTGCCCTGTTAGCCGCCTTGAGCCTTCGGGGAAGGCGGGACAGAAATCTAAACAATAAATAAATAAATAAATAAATAATAAGAAGAGAAGAATATAAATTACAAGCCTTTGCAGATGACTTGGTTTTTATTTTAGAAAACCCATTAGACTCTGTGACCCAACTCTTGAAAACATTGCAAGAATATGGTCGAGTAGCTGGACTGAAAATCAATTTTAATAAAACAAAGATTTTAACACAGAATATTACAAAAGAACAAATCCACAAACTGAAAGAAAGTTCAGGCATTGAAGTCCAGAAGGTTAAATATCTAGGAATAAACTTAACAAATAGATGTAGTTCCCTATTACAGGACACCTATACAAAACTCTTAATGGAAATTAAGAAAGATTTGGAGAAATTGAAAGATTTGCAAATGTCTTTAATGGGAAGAATAGCCACTAAAAAAATGAATATCTTACCAATTCCAATTTTCTTACCAAAGTTGATTTTCTTATTTCAAACAATTCCAATTATTCAAAATCAACAATACTTCAAAGAGCTTGATAAACTGGTGTCACAATTTATATGGCAAAACGAGAAGCCAAGAATCAAGTTAAAAGCTTTACAAGATGCAAAAGAAAGAGCTGGATTTGCTTTATCAGATTGGCTTTTATATTATAAAGCAGCTACATTGACTTGGGTGAGAGAATGGATTATCTTGGAAAATACAAGGCTATTAAAATTAGAAGGACATGACTTACTACTGAGTTGGCATTCATTTGCATGGTACAACAGAGACAATACACATAAATATTTCAAGCAACATATTCTTAGAAGATTACTATTGAAAGTATGGGAAGAAACTAAAAGACTTTTCTATTCTAAGATACCAAAATAGGTCTCACCACATGAAGCTTTTAGAAATCCAATCTTATTCCAAAAAATTTTACTGTGTAGATATGAAGACCTGCTGGAAAATAATAACAAACTAATTACAATTTTGTTGTTGTTCAGTCGCACAGTCGAGTCTGACTCTTCGCGCCCCCATGGACCAGCTCCCACCAGGCCCTCCTGTCTTCCGCCGTCCTTTGAAGTTTGCTCAGTTTCATGTTCGTTGCATCTATGACACTGTCTAACCATCTCATCCTTTGCTGTCCCCGCCTTCTTTGACCTTCAATCTTTCCCAGCATCAGGGTCTTCTCCAGTGAGTGCTCCCTTCTCATTGGGTGGCCAAAGTATTTGAGCTTCAGTTTCATTATCTGGCCTTCCAGGGAACAGTCAGGGTTGATTTCTTTTAGGATTGACTGATTTGATCTTCTTGCAGTCCAAGGGACTCTCAAGAGTCTTCTCCAGCACCATAGTTCAAAAGAATCTATTCTTCGGCGCTCGGCCTTCCTTATAGTCCAACTCTCGCAGCCATACATGACTACTGGGAATACCATTGCTTTGACCATGCGGACTTTTGTTGGCAGGGTGATGTCTCTACTTTTTATCATGCTGTTTAGGTTCGCCATCGCTTTCCTCCCAAGGAGCAGGCGTCTTTTAATTTCATGGCTGCTGTCACAGTCTGCGGTGATCTGGGATCCCAGGAATGTGAAGTCTGTCACTACTTCCACAACTTCCCCTTCTATTTGCCAAGGAGTAATGGGGCCGGATGCCATGATCTTAGTTTTTTTGATGTTAAGCTTCAAACCCACTTTTGCGCTCTCCTCTTTTACCCTGAGCAAGAGGCTCTTTAGGTCCTCTTCACTTTCAGCCATTAGAGTGGTATCATCTGCATATCTGAGGTTGTTGATCTTTTCCCCAGCAATCTTAATTCCCGCTTGTGATTCATCCAGGCCAGCATTTCGCATGATGTACTCTGCATATATATTAAATAAGCAAGGCGACAATATACATCCTTGTCGTACTCCTTTTCCTATGCTAAACCAATCAGTTGTTCCATATCCGGTTCTAACTGTCGCTTCTTGGCCCTTATACAGGTTTCTCAAGAGACATGTGAGGTGGTCTGGTACTCCCATCTCTTTAAGGACCTGCCATAGTTTGTTGTGATCCACACAGTCAAAAGCTTTAGCATAGTCAATGAAGCAGAAGTAGATATTTTTCTGGTACTCTCTTGCTTTCTCCATAATCCAGCGAATGTTGGCAATTTGATCTCTAGTTCCTCTACCTCTTCGAAACCCAGCTTGTACTTCTGGTAGTTCTCTATCCACGTACTGTTGAAGCCTAGCTTGTAGGATCTTGAGCATGACCTTGCTAGCATGTGATATGAGTGCAATTGTGCGATAGTTTGAACATTCCTTGGCATTGCCCTTCTTTGGGATTGGAATGTATACTGACCTTTTCCAATCCTGTGGCCACTGTTGCGTTATCCAAATTTGCTGGCAAATGGAGTGCAGCACTTTAACAGCATCATCTTCTAAGACTTTGAATAGCTCAGCTGGAATACCATCACCTCCACTAGCTTTGTTGTTAGCAATGCTTTCTAAGGCCCATTTAACTTCACATTCCAGGATGTCTGGCTCAAGGTCAGTGATTATACCGTCGTGTTTGTCAAGGACATTGAGGTCTTTCTTGTATAGTTCTTCTGTGTATTCTTGCCATCTTTTCCTAATCTCTTCTGCTTCTGTTAGGTCCCTACCGTTTTTGTCCTTTATCATGGCCAGCTTTGCATGGAACGCTCCCTTGATTTCTCCAACTTTCTTGAAGAGATCTCTAGTCCTTCCCATTCTATTGTTTTCTTCTATTACTTTGCACTGTTCATTCAGGAAGGCCTCCTTATCTCTCCTTGCTGTTCTCTGGAAATCTGCGTTCAGTTGGGTAAATCTTTCCTTTTCGCCTTTGCCTTTCGCTTTCCTTCTTTCCTCTGCTATTTGTAAAGCCTCATCAGAAAGCCACTTTGCTTTCTTACATTTCTTTTTCTTTGGGATGGTGGTGATTGCTGCCTCCTGTACGATGTCACGAACCTCTGTCCATAGTTCTTCAGGCACTCTATCTATCAAATCCAGACCCTTGAATCTATTCTTCACCTCTACTGTATATTCATCAGGGATGCGATCTAGGTCAAACCTGAATGGCCTCGTGGTTTTCCCAATTTTCTTCAGTTTAAGTCTGAATTTTGCAATGAGTAGCTCATGATCTGAACCACAGTCAGCTCCAGGTCTTGTTTTTACTGACTGGATAGAGCTTCTCCATCTTTGACTGCAAATTATATAGTCAATCTGATTTCGGTGTTGCCCATCTGGTGATGTCCATGTGTAGAGTCGCCTCTTAGGTTGTTGGAAAAGGGTGTTCGCTATGACCAGTGTGTTCTCTTGACAAAACTCTGTTAACCTTTGCCCTGCTTCATTTTGCTTTCCAAGGCCAAACTTGTCTGTTATTCCAGTTACCTTTTGACTTCCTACTTTAGCATTCCAGTCCCCTATGATGATGAGGACATCATTTTTTGGTGTTAGTTCTAGGAGGTGTTGTAGGTCTTCATAGAACCGGTCCACTTCAGCCTCTTCTGCATCAGTGGTTGGGGCATACACTTGAATTACTGTGATGTTGAATGGTTTGCCTTGGAATCGGACAGAAATCATTCTGTCATTTTTGAGATTGTATCCCAGTACTGCCTTTTGCACTCTCTTGTTGACTATAAAGGCCACACCATTTTTTCTACGAGATTCCTGGCCACAGTAGTAGATATAATGGTCTTCTGAGTTAAATTCGCCCATTCCTGTCCACTTTAGTTCACTGATTCCTAGGATATCGATGTTCAGTCTTGCCATCTCATTTTTGACCACGTCAAGCTTACCTTGATTCATAGATCTTACATTCCAGGTTCCTATGTAGTATTGTTCTTTGCAGCATTGGACTTTCCTTTCACCATCAGACACATCCACAACTGAGGGTCCTTTCGGCTTTGGCCCAGCCGCTTCACTCTTTCTGGGGTTACTTGTACTTGCCCTCTGCTCTTCCTCAGTAGCATATTGGACACCTTCCGACCTGAGGGGCTCATCTTCCGGCGTCATATCTTTTAGCCTTTTGTTACTGTCCATGG